TTTGTATTTCTGCATTGTCTGTTGTAACCTATCCTTTTTCATTTCTAATTTCGTTGATTTGAATCTTCTCTTTTTCTTGATGAGTCTGACTAAAGGTTCGTCAATTTTGTTTATCTTCTCAATGAACCAGGTTTTAGTTTTATTCATCTTTACTATTGTTTTTTTCATTTTTAAAATTTCTGCTCAGATCTTTATGATTTCTTTCCTTCTGCTAATTTTGGGGGTCTTTTTGTTCTTTTTTTTTTTCCCCCAGTTCTTTTAGGTGTAAAGTTAGGTTGTCTGTTCGATGTTCTTCTTGTTTCTTGAGGTAGGACTGTCTTGCTATGAACTTCCCTCTTAGGACTGCTTTTGCTGCATCCGATAGGTTTTGAGTTGTCATGTTTTCATTGTCATTTGTTTCTAGAAATCTTTTTACTTCCCTTTTGATTTCTTCAGTAATCTGTTGGTTATTTACAAATGTGTTGCTTAATCTCCATGTGTTTGTGTTTTTTTACTGTTTCTTTCTTGTAATTGATACCTAGTCTCATAGCATTGTGGTCAAAGAAGATGCTTGATAGGATTTCAATTTTCTTAAATTTACTGAGATTTAATTTGTGACCCAAGAGAATGTTCCATGTGCACTTGGAAAGGTGTATTCTTCTACATTTGGATGGAATGTCCTGAAGATATCACTGAGATCCATCTCATCTAATGTATCATTTAAGACTTGTGTTTCCTTATTAACTTTCTGTTCTGATGAACTGTCCATTGGTGTGAGTGGTGTGTTAAAATCTCCTACTATTATTGTGTTACTGTCAGTTTCTCCTTTTGTGTGTTAGTATTTGTCTTACATATTGAAGTTTTCCTATGTTGGGTGCATAGATATTTACAATTGTTATGTCTTCCTCTTGGTTTGATTCCTTGATCATTATGTACTGTCCTTCCTTATCTCTTGTAATATTCTTTATTTTAAGGTCGATTTTGTCTGATATGAAGATTGCTACTTCAGTTTTCTTTTGCTTCCCACTTGCATGGAATATATTTTTCCACCCTCTCACTTTCAGTCTATATGTGTCTTGTTTTTGCATCCATTCAGCCAGTCTGTGTCTTTTGGTTGGAGCATTTAATCCATTTACATTTAATCATTGAAATATATATTCCTATTGCCATTTTCTAACTGCCAAATTGCCAATTGCCAACAACTGCCAATTGTTTGGGATTGATTTTGTAGATCTTTTTCTTCGCTTGTGTTTCTTGACTATGTAAGTCCTTTTAACATTTGCTGGGAAGCTGGTTTGGTGGTCCTGAAATCTCTTAACTTTCGCCTGTCTGAATAGATTTTTATTTCTCCATCAATTTTGAATGAGATCCTTGCTGGGTACAGTAATCTTGCCTATAGATTTTTCCCTTTCAGTACTTTAAATATATCCTGCCATTCCCTTTTGGCCTGCAGAGCTTCTGCTGAAAGATCAGCTGTTAAACGTATGGGGTTTCCTTTGTATGTTATTGTTGCTTCTCCCTTGCTGCTTTTTTTAATATTCTTCCTTTGTGTTTAGTCTTAGTTTGATTAGTATGTGTCTTGGTGTGTTTCTCCTTGGGTTTATTCTATATGGGACTTTTTATGCCTCTTGGACTTGATTGACTATTTCTTTTTCCATGTTGGGGAAATTTTCAACTCTAAAAAATTTCTCAAACCCTTTCTTTTTCTCTACTTCTTCTGGGACGCCTATAATTCAAATGTTGGTGTGTTTGATATTGTCTTAGAGGTCTCTGAGACCATCCTTAGTTCTTTTCATTCTTTTTACTATATTATGCTCTTCAGAAGCTAGTTCCACCACTTTATCTCCCAGCTCACTGATTCATTCTTCTGCTTCAGATATTCTGCTATTGATTCCTTCTAGAGTATTTTTAATTTCAGTAATTGTGTTGTTTGTCTCTGTATCTTTATTCTTTAATTCTTCTAGGTCATTGTTAATTGATTCTTGCATGTTCTCCATTCTGTTCTCAAGGTTTTTGATCATCTTTACTTATTCATTATTCTGAATTCCTTTTCAGGTAGTTTGCCTATTTCCTCTTTATTTATTTGGACTTCTGTGTTTCTAGTTTGTTCCTTTATTTGTGTAGTATTTTGTTGCCTTTTCATTTTTATTATTTTTTTTTAACTTATTTTGTTTGAAGTCTCCTTTTCCCAGGCTTCAAGGTTGAATTCTTTATTCCTTTTGGTTTCTGCCCTCCTAATGTTGGTCCAGTGGTTTGTGTAAGCTTCATATAGTGTGAAATTTGTACTGAGTTGTTCTTTCTTTCTTCCTCTGATGTGCAAGGCTGACTGCTGATGATTAGGTTTGTATTTTTGTTTTGTTTCTTGTTTAGATGAGGCATCCTCCAACAGGGTACTACTGGTGGTTGGGTGATGCTGGATCTTATATTCAAGTGGTTTCCTTTGTGTCAGTTTTCACTATTTGATACTCCCTAGGGTTAGTTCTCTGGTAGTCTAGGGTCTGGGAGTCAGTGCTCTCACCCAAAGCCTCAGGGCTTGATCTCTGCCAATCTTAGCAAGTCTTCAGGAGAGGATGGAGTCAGCGTTTGGGAACACAGAAGGCATATTTGGGAGCTCGTTCTACATGTGTGCGTGGAAGTCAAACGCCATGCTGGCGGCGCCAAGTGCATGACCCACAAACTGTTGGTCTTGGACAGTCTCCACTAGAGGCTGGGGCAGGTGGCCGAACCTAAAACATTTTTATGATCAATCCTTTGGTTCAAGTGTTTTTCTTTTTAAAAAATTTTTATTCTTTTGGACTTTTTACAGACAGTCATGTTATCTGCAAACAAATTCTTCTTTCCCAATCTGTATACCTTTTATTTCCTTTTTTGGGAGGTGTCAAACTGCATTAGCTAGTATTTCCAGTATTATGTTGTAAAGCAGTGATGAGAGGAGACACTCGTGATGTGTTCCTGAATTTAGTGGAAAATTCTTCAGTTTCTATTTAAAATGCACTAAATACTAAAGTGAAGATTTAAAATTACTATTAAGAGATTTTCACAGATATCTGCTGTTAATCACCACCAATATTCCTACCTTTTGGACAAGAAACAACCCAAATGATACTAGAAATTTTTTCAAGTACTCGTGGAGTATTTTCAAAATCATACCCCCATAGTGTATCATAAAGACAATCTCAACAAATATTAAGAATCAATATCACACTGATTATCATATAGGCCATGATCATGGTTCTAAAAAAGATCATAATGAATGTCTCATTTTACTTGTATGAACTTGTGAATTTATAACCAATTCTCTCTCTCATTTGCTATAGATTAACAAAAACCTCTGCTACTTGGCAGAAGTAAAACCTTGAGTATTTTGAGAGAAACTCTGTTACATTGCTCTTCAAAGGGGGTACATGGCTTGACATAAAACTGGCTCTGGTTTTTTCTTCAGCTTAGTTCTGCTGCATATAACTCTTTGCAACCCCATGGGCTGAAGCATGCCTGGCTTCCCTGTCCATCACCAACTCCCAGAGCTTGCTCAAACTCATTTACATGGAGTCAGTGATGCCTATCCAAAAAATCTGCACAATATCCTAAAATAAGGTTTTCTCCTTCCTGCAAGCATAACTTAGGTTGGGTTAGCTAAAGTATGGTTAACTTCCTTCCCTAACTTCATCTTTATAGCATAAAGGGTAAAACTCGTAATGAAGAATAGAAACTAAAAGTCAGCATCAGGTTATTATGCCTCAAACTCCAGTCTGAGTTTCCTGAGAAAATGTGCTTTTTAAAGTAGTTGAACGTGTCGTACTTCAAGCATACCTCTAAGTGTTTAATGTTTAAAAAAACTCCAGTTAGTACAGTTTTTTTTCACCAAACCAATAACATTAGATAATATTTAATATCTTTAGAAAAACCCACTTTGTTATGAGTTATGAATGTGTTACTATAAATCCTAAGAATAAATCTTATGACACATTGAAATTATAATTATTTTTTACTCTAAAGTGAGTTTATATAGCTCTGATTGTTACACAGCTATCAATTATTTTTAAAATCTCTGCAGACTTTATATAGTACCTATTTCTAAATAGAAAGAAATAATGTTCCTGTCCCTCCAGAATTTACATCTATTAAATAATCTTAGACTGGAATGTAGAAAAATATGATCATTCTTTTACAAGTGTTTAAATATCAGTCAGTAACTTTATTGAAAATATGTTGTGCAAAATACTGTATTAAGTAATGGAGAAAATAAAGCAAAGCATAAGACTTTGCTACTCTAAAGTGCTTACAAGCTACTTGGAAAGATAAGACTTTCATGGAGAAAGACAAAGAATGGGAGGCAGGGAGCAAGAAGGAAGACAAGGAGATGGGAAAGAAGGCATACGTAATGTCTTACACTTATTACAAGATATAATTCATTGATAAATCTTGCAAGAAAGATGAAAAATGACATAGATATTCAGAAAAGATGAGTTTGCAAAACTGGAAATGATAATCTTTCTAATCTCTGGAAACTGTTTTACTTTTATGCCCCTGTGAGCAAAGTTATTAAATTCCACTTCATCAAATCTTGAAGTTAAATTTATATATTTAATCCCACCTCGAGTCACACAAGTACTCTTTCCTCTTCCTTCTTTCCTACCCATCCCCCAGTACTCATTTCTTTTTGGAAGACTGTCTTTCTTCCTTCCAACTGCTATGTATACTTTCTTTATTCTGACCTCTCAGATGAACCCAGCACATGGCAGCAACTGTACCTGGATGCTTCAGCAGTACCCTGTGCATTCTTTGTCCAAAAAAGGTAATCATAGTAAAACTTGATAAATGTCATCCATCTTTCTTACCAGACCATAAGTTCCAAGATTGCAGGCAGTATGTTTATCTTGATTTTTATTCTTTTCCTAGCATCTATCTCAGTCCCTGCATTAATAACTACTTTCTGAATAAATGGATGCTCAATAATGTGATCTTGACCTTTAAAATAAGCAATATTCAGAAGAAAATGTCAACACAGTTGTCTAACATACCATTTGAAGGGCTGAAAGTTCTTCTGTTAGTTGAGAAATCTGTACATTATATTGTTTCCTTGTGTTTATAATCTGTAAAGAAAGATACTTATGAATTAAGTCTACAATAAAAATAATTAACATCTAATAAAAACATGTATAATACTAATTCTGATTAAAAATAAAATTAAAATTTTTAAGGCATAAAGGATAAACACATAGTATACTAAAGAGTCAAGAATTTATCATGACACTGAAAGTAAATGAACAAGATGATAAATCCTAAAGGACAGTGATTGTTAAATTTCCTGTCTTAAGATTCTTGTATACTGTAAAAACAAAGATTTTCGTTTTTATAATGAGTTCTCTATTAAAATTTACCATATTAGAAAGGAAAACAAAATTTCAAAATATCTACTAATTAATCCCTTATGAGTGAAAGTAACTAAAGTTGTCACAGGTTAACATAAAAAATATACTTCTTTGAAAATATGTATATTTTCCAAAAACTAAAAAAATATTTAGAAAAGTGGTATTATATTACATTTATGCAAATTTCCTTCATGTCTCTGGCTTAATAGAAGATGGACTCTCACCCTTTTCTAGCAACACAAAAGATGATTCTACACATGGACATCACCAGGTGGTCAATATCAAAATCAGACTGATTATATTCTTTGCAGTTGAAGATGGAGAAGCTCTATATGGTCAGCAAAAACAAAACAGAGAGCTGACTGTGGCTAAGATCAGGAACTTTATTGCAAAATTCAGGCTTAAATGGAAGAAAAGGGAAAACCACTAGCCATTCAGGTATGACCTAAATAAAATCCCTTATGATTTTGTAGTAGACATGATGAATAGATTCAAGGGTTTAAATCTCACAGACGAAGTGCCCGAAGAACTATGGTTGGAGGTCTGCAACACAGTACAGCAGACAGTGAGCAAAACCACTCCAAAGAAAAATAAATGCAAGAAGGCAAAGTGGTTGTCTGAGGAGGCTTTACAAATAGCTGAGAAAAGAAGAGAAGCAAAAAGCAAGAGAGAAAGAGAAAGATATACCCAACTGAATGCAGAATTCCAGTGAAGAGCAAGGAGATATAAGAAAGCCTTGTGAAATGAACAATGCAAAGAAATGGAGGAAAACAATAGAATGGGAAAGACTAGAGATCTCTTCAAGAAAATCAGAGATACAAAATGAACATTTCATGCAAAGATGGGCACAATAAAGGAGAGAAACAATAAGTATCTCACAGAAGCAGATTTAGAGATTAAGAAGAGGTGTCAAGAATACACAGAAAGAACTATACCAAAAAAGTCTTAAAGATCCAGATAACCATGATGGTATGGTCACTCACCTACAGCCAGACATCCTGGAGTGTAAAGTCAACTGGGCCTTAGGAAGCATGAACAAAGCTATTGGAGGTGACAGAATACCAGTTAAGCTACTTCAAATCCTAAAAGATGATGTTGTTAAAGCACTGAACTCAATATGTAAGCAAATTGGGAAAATAGCAGTGACCACAGAACTGGAAAAGATCAGTTTTCACTGCAATGCCAAAGAACGTTCAAACTACCACCCAGCTGCGCTCCGGTCACATGCTCGCAAGGTTACACTCAGAATCCTCAAGCCAGGCTTCAGCAGTACATGAACCGAGAACCTGCAGATGTACAACCTGGGTTTAGAAAAGGCAGAGGAACTGGAGATCAAACTGCCAAAGTCCAGTTGGTCATAGAGAAAGCAAGGGAATTTTGGAAAAACATCTACTTCTGCTTCACTGACTATGCTAAAGGCTCTGACTGTGGAGAAAAAGTGGAAATAGGGATAGATTTTCCTTTCTTGGGCTCCAAAATCAGTCATGAAAGTAAAAGATGCTTGCTCCTTGGAAACAAAGCCATGACAAACCTAGACAGCATATTAAAAGCAGAGACTTCACTTTGCCAACAAAGATTCAAAGCTATGGTTTTTCCAGTACTCGTGTACAGGTGTGAGAGTTGGACCATAAAGAAGGCTGAAGGCTTAACAGTTCATGCTTTTGAACTGTGGTGCTGGAGAAGACTCTTGAGAGTCCCTTGGGCTGCAAAGAGATCAAACCAGTCAATCCTAAAGGAAAAAAATATTCCCTGAATATTGGAAGGACTGATGCTGAAGCTGAAACTCCAATACTTTGGCCACCTGATGCGAAGAGCTGACTTGCTGGAAAAGATCCTGACGCTGGGAAAGACTGAGGGCAGGAGGAAAAGGGGGTGACAGAGGACGAGACGGTTGGATGGCATCACCGACTCGGTGGACATGAGTGTGAGCAAATTCTGGGAGACAGTGAAGGACAGGGAAACCTGGTATGCTTGCAGTCTGTAGGGTCTCAAAAAGTCAGACATGACTTAACAAGAACATAGACATGGTAGGCTTCCTAAGTGGTTCAGTGGCAAAGAATCTGCCCACTAATGCAAGAGCTGCAGGGGACACAGGTTCAATCCCTGAATCAGGAAGATCCGTGGAGGAGGAAATGGCAACCCACTTCAGTTTTCCTGTCTGGATAATCCCATGGACAGAGGAACCTCAAGGGCTACAGTTTATGGGGTCGCAAAGAGTCGGACACAACTGTTCATGCATGCAGGCAGAGAGACATGGCAGTCAAATACAATGATGCATAAACATGGATTGGACCCTGAACTTTAAAATCTAAACAGCTTTAAAGAATATTCTAGAGAAATCTCACTGAAATAATACTGATTTTTTTTTAAAGATATGGTAATACTGTTGTGGATGTGTAACAAAATGCCCTTTGTCTGGGGAAACAGATGTCAAGATGAACTGTCATGAGGCCTGAAGCTTATATCTGAATGTGTGGCAAAAGGGAAGGGTGTGTATGGAACATAAAGAGACATGGAACAGACACAGCAAGACACTAAAAGTTTTCTGGGTGAGAGAGAAATAAGTGTTCATTGTGGAATTCTTTCACTTTCATGGATTTGGAAATTTCTAAAAATAAAAAAGTACAAAATGAATTATAAAGAATTTCTCCTAGCTACTGAGTTGAGCTCATCTGCATCTCAGTTATGCTACTTCCCAGAGGTGGAACCCTAAGAAAGTTAGCCTACTACTCTGTTTTTTAGTTTTTTCATCTTTAAAATGGGTTTTTGTGGTTTCTTACTCCTAAACTCACTTTAAATTTTTTAACTTCACCCTCACCACTTATGAATTAATTCATATTCATAACAGAGGAAAAGACAAATATTATGTCTTCCCTATTTCTTCATATGTAGGCAAAGTTATATTTCCAAGATAGCTTATTCTATAAAATTTTTTGTATTTATTTATTTGGTTGCTCTGGGTCTTCTTTGTGGCATGTGGGATCCAGTTCCCAGACCAGGGATCAAACCCAGGCCCCCTGCATTGGGAGTGCAGAGTCTCGGCCACTGGACCACCACAGACATCCCTCTAAAACAGTTTTAGCTTTCATAAGGCTCAGAATTCAAACCAAGGAGCAACTCATTACTTTTAACACAAAAATATAAGATTTAGTTTTAATAATGGAATTGTAAACAATAACACAATTCACAAACTGTATGGTATCAGCATGATGTGATTAAATAGCCCTGGGCTCAGTACAGCAAGGAGAAGGCATGAGTCTAAGTTCTGGCTTTAATTAGTATATAACTTTGAGTGAATCAATAACCTCTCATGGGTTTAAGCTTCATTACCAATGAAATGAGAGTAAAGCAGATTTCTCTAGTACTCTTGTTCTAAGATACTGCAAATAATACGAGGTTTTCTTCTTTTGCTTCTTATGTATCCCAAGATTCTTTCTGATCCTTCTTCTCGACTTTATACTTAAGGTGAGTTAATCTTCACTATACTCCTAGTCTAAATCTCTCTCCTCCCCATTTACCCTATCCGCCACCTCTACTTCGCCCCAGCTCTAATGTTAGGGGCTACCATCATGAGATGGTCTTTGTGTGAAATTCAGTACAGCTGACACAACCAGTTGATAGTTACTTACCTAGGTCCATAAGGCAAACACTCAGGTAGTCTCCAGTCTTAAGCTGTGAAATTCTGTAAAATTCTGAATTTAAATTAAAACTCCTTACCACCTTCTTGGTTCTTACGGCAGCATCTTGCACAATCTGAGAAACTGTTTCTTTCATTTTCTCTATTTCTTCTTGTTTTTGCTTATCCTCAAGCAGAGCCTTAAAAAAATAATTTGACGTTATTACAGACCACATCATTATTAAGATTATATAATAAGTGGGTAAAAACCTGTCCACTAATCACTTTCTTGAAAGCATACATCTTATTTGAAACTTCTGAGACATCTCCAGTTGGAGATCTTGTCTAAGTTATGAATGATATTTATTTCCTCTAACTTCCTCACCTGATCTTGTCCTCACTAAAAAATTATTATTCTCCTTTGATATTTATTTCAGCCAGTACCATCACTCTTCTGATCCCTATAGATGGAAATTTAGAATTATGTTTGAATTTTCCTTCTTCTTTATTCCCTATGTAAAATTTATCAAATTTAAGTAATCAAATTTAAATGTTATATTCTTGGAGAAACCTCTTAGGCTTTCCTATTATTATTATTCCATTCCTTTCCACTATTTGGTTTTATTCAAATTATGCCACTTGTCACCTCATACCTCCATCACTCCACCCAATTCATCTCAATGATATTTCTAACCAACCAATCATTTTCATTTCCCCTAAAAAATACTCTTATAAGCCTAGTTCTGTTGTCAGTCACATCCCATTTCTTTGCTTTCTTGTGGAACAAAACTTTTCTAAAGTCTGCACTTGCTCATTTCCAAAACTTTCTCTTATGTTCACCCTAATCAGGCTTTCACCATCATCTCTACACTGCTAACTCAAGAGTCACCTCTGAGTAATTATGTTATGTGATCTGCCAAGCACTTCTTGAGATAATGAATTTTCTTTTCCTTGTTTTACTTTCTTTACTTTGCTTTTAGGATATCATAATATTGGTTTTCTTCTTAACTCACTGATTATTCCTTTTTAGTCTACATTGCTGTTTCTTCCTCTTCCCTTGAACCTCTTTATTAATGGACTACCCAAGACTTAGTTCTTGGTCCTTTTCTCTATTCAAATCCATCTCTTGGTGGTCTAATCCAAACTCATGGTTTTAAATATCATTTATATGCTGACAAGTCCCAAGTTTATATCTTTAGTTCAAATATCTTCCTGAGCCTGTGTCAGGAAGCATTTAACAGGAGGTTTCCTGTGTGCTATTTTGGATCTGTCAGGACTCCTCTGGTCCTTATTAATTCCTGAATATTCAGGAATTAAGAGGAGAGGCACGCCTTTCCTGGGACTGAGGAATCCAGGCATTTCCTTCGTTAAGTTTTTCCATACTGTGAAAAGTAACTATTTACAACCCTCTTTTCATACGGATTGCCTCTTGGCCTTATAGCCTCTATTCCTCCTTGCTTCCTTGGTAAACTTGTAAAGTCTGGTCTCTTGATCTTTATCTAAAGAAGCTACTGGCATATATACTCTTACAGAATTCAATAAAGCACCTTTGCTCCACCAGAGCTTGGGTCCTCATGTCTTTCTTTCTTTCTCTCTCTATTTCTAGCTGATTCCCTGGAGCGTGAAAGCCGGCTGTGTAACCCAGGGAATATGAGCCCCTTTCCTTCTTTCACTCTCTCATCATCGACTCCGGACCACCAGGTTCCGGTCCAATAAAGGACCAACAAGCCTGGAACTCCTAAAATTTTAGGTTTGGGTCATTTTTTTTTTTTTAAATTAAATATCATTACTTACTAGTGGTTCTCTGTTCTGACCCCACTATCTTCCAAAGATAACATACACATTCCTATCTCTATTTTTGCTTTGTTTTAATAAATTTCCTCCCACTTATATAGGTAAGCAAGTGAGAAGTAACAGCTATTCTGATATAACAACCTTGTCAGGGAGAATGGGACAATGGGAAAAGGGAAGTTTCATAAGAAAACTATGCTAAAGCTGTCTTTCATGCCTGTTTGTATGGCTGGTTCAAAGAACTCTTGACTTCTTGGAACAAGCAACTGAAGGTGGGAACTCTCTGGTAGTTAAGCAGTGAGTCAAGAGGGAACTTAATACACACTACAGACATAAACATGAAATTTGAGACTCAAGTTCAATTTGTAGACTTGAGACCTGGTTGAGAAAATTTAAGGGACAAGCACTGAGTATCACTACTACCTTCTCTGTCCACTGTGCTCCACACAAAATGATCATCTTTATGATCTGATGTTAAGAACACTCATATGGTTAAGCTTCAGAGAAGATAAGTAATTTTGCCCCGCTCTTAATTTTTCTAGTTCACTTAGGTGTTTGGAGGAATTTCCAAGAATATTATGTATTTTGTGCTTTTCATCCTAGTTCTAATAGGCAGTATTCAGGTCACCATTCATTGATGACTACTGATGAATTCAGATGACCACTATATCTACTACTGCGGGCAAGAAGAAATGGAGTAACTCTCATAAGTCAATATAAGAGTCCAGAATATAGTGTTTGGGTGCAGTCTCAAAAATCACAGAATGATCTCTGCTTGTTTCCAAGGCAAACCATTCAACATCACAGAAATCCAAAACTATGCCCACCCACTGATGCTGAAGAAGCTGAAGCTGACCAGTTCTATAAAGATCTACAAGATCTTCTAGAACTAACACCAAAAAAAGATGTCCTTTTCATCATAGTGGACTGGAATGCAAAAGTAGGAAGTCAATAGATAATCTGGAGTAAAAGGCAAGCTTGGCCTTGGAATACACAAATGAGGCAGGGCAAAGGCCAATAGAGCTTTGACAAGAGAACACACTGGTCATAGCAAACACTCTCTTCCAACAACACAAGATATAACTCTACACATTGACATCACCAGATGGTTAATACCAAAATCAGATTGATTATATTCTTTGCAGCTGAAGATGGAGAAGCTCTATACAGTCAGCAAAAATAAGACCAGGCGCTGACTGTGGCTCAGATCATGAACTCCTTATTGCAAAATTCAGACTTAAATTGAAGAAAGTAGGGAAAAACACTAGACCATTCAGGTATGACAAATCCTTGACAATTATACAGTGGATGTGACAAATAGATTCAAAGGATTAGATCTGATAGAGTAACTGATGAACTGTGGATGGAGGTTTGTGACACTGTACAAGAGGCAATGACAAAACCAATGGACTGGTTCCAAACTGGGAAAGGAGTGCATCAAGGCTGTATATTGTCACCCTACTTATTAAACTTATGTGTAGAGAACATCATGCAAAATGCCAGTCTGGATGAAGCACAAGCTGGAATCAAGACTGCACGGAGAAATATCAATAACCTAAGATACGCAGAGGACACCACCCTTATGGTAGAAAGTGAAGAGAATTAAAGAGTCTCTTGAAAATGAAAGAGGAGAGTGAAAAACTGGCTGAAAACTCAACATTCAAAAAACTAAGATCATGGCATCCAGTCCCATCACTTGAGGGCAAATAGATGGGAAACATGGAAACAGTGACAGACTATATTCTTGGGCTCCAAAATCACTGCAGATGGTGGCCGCAGCCATGAAATTAAAAGATGCTTGCCCCGTGGAAGAAAAGCTTTAATCAACCTAGACAGCATATTAAAAAGCAGAGACATTACTTTGCCGACAAAGGTCCGTCTAGTCAAAGCTATGGTTTTTCCACTAGTCATGTATGGATGTGAGAATTGGACCATAAAAAAAGCTGAGCACTGAAAAATTGATGCTTTTGAACTGTGGTGTTGGAGAAGACTCTTGAGAGTCCCTTGGACTGCAAGGAGATAGCCAAAGAATTGATGCTGTTGAACTGTGGTGTTGGAGAAGACTCTTGAGGATCCCTTGGACTGCAAGCAGATCAAACCAGTCAACCCTAAAGGAAATAAGTCTTGAATATTCATTGGAAGGACTGATGCTGAAGCTGAAACTCCAATACTTTGGCCACCTGATACAAAGAACTGACTCACTGGAAAAGACCCTGATGCTGGGGAAGACTGAAGGCAGAAAGAGAAGGGGAGCACAGAGGATGAGATGGTTGGATGGTATCACTGACTTGACGAACATGAGTTTGAGCAAGCTCTGGGAGCTGATGATGGACAGGGAAGCCTGGAGTGATACAGTCCATGGGGTTGCAAAGAGTCAAGTACTATTGAGTGACTGAACTGAACTGAATTCTGATCACAGAAAGGAATATTATCTGAAAGACATAAAAAGCACCTTAGCATTCCCACAGCTTAAGAGTTGGATAATTATTTCTTTTTTATTTCCTAGTAGCTTCTTAAGATGCAATTTACAGCTTGTTTTGTTTTTAACAGTTCTCTTGGAAAACCCTCTATCATGTAAGAAAGAAAACAGTCACAAAGTATTTCCTTTGTATTCTGCATACTTCTCAGTGGAGTACTATTCATGTCCTAGGTATTCAATAAATGTTACTTCAATGAAGTAATAATTTAACGATCTCTATGTAAGGGAGCCAGAGATATTAAAAACAAATTTTGTGACTTCTATAAACTAAATATGTTTAAATGAAAGTGGTAAAAGACAAAAGATATGATATGTGATAACACAGTAATCACAATTGTGAGAGGGTTAAAAAAAAAAGAACAGTGACACGAAGCCTCCAGTTAAATCTTCATAACTAAATTTACTTCCTGTCAATTAAGCTTCTGCTCTATTAATTACAGAGGTAATGAAGGGGAAATAAAGATTAATAAGATGCATCTTATTCAAGTGAACAAAACATGGAGTACACATACTACAGTAAATTGCTTCAAAAGATCTTTTTAAGAATGAGACTAAAGAGATGAAGATTAGTTACATAAGAATGGAGATATAAAAAAAGTCTGATATGAAAGTTTTAGGAGAGGGTTGACACTATCATATTTTATGATGTTAAGTCTTAACAATAAGGAAGCAGAGAGGGAGGAGCCAAGATGGCAGAGGAATAGGACAGGGAGACCACTTTCTCCCCTACAAATTCATCGAAAGAACATTTGAACGCTGAGCAAATTTCACAAAACAACTTCTGATCGCTAGCAGAGGACATCAGGCGCCCAGAAAAGCAGCCCATTGTCTTCGAAGGGAGGTAGGACAAAATATAAAAGATAAAAAGGGAGACAAAAGAGCTACTTTAATACCACACTCACAACTATGGATAGACCAACTAAACAGAAAATGAACAAGGAAACACAAACTTTAAAGGACACAATGGACCAGCTAGACCTAACTGACATCTATAGGACGTTTCACCCCAAAACAATCAGCGTCACCTTTTTCTCAAGTGCACACGGAACCTTCTCCAGAATAGATCACATCCTGGGCCATAAATCTAGTCTTGGTAAATTCAAAAAAATTGAAATCATTCCAGTCATCTTTTCTGACCACAGTGCAGTAAGATTAGATCTCAATTACAGGAAAAAATTATTAAAAATTCAAACAATATGGAGGCTAAACAACAC